TCCTTGGAGTCAAGGATTCTGAAGCTTCATCTGACATATTTTCGGCATGTTGCAAGGAGGGACTGGTCCTTAGAGAGGGACATCATGTTTGGGAGAGTGGAGGGATGGCACAGGAGAGGAAGACCCTCGATGAGATGGATTGATTCTTTGAGTGGAGTGGTAGGAATTAATGTGTTTGAGACAGTGAGGTTGGCACAGAATAGAATGGAGTTTAGGGCTCTTGTACATAGGGTCACTATGAGTCGTAAGCGACTCGATGGCACATAACAACAACATCAAAGGATACAATCCTAATGCATGCCTTTCCTGATTTTAACCCATGCAGTTTTCCCTTACTCCAGTCACACAACAGTCTCTTGACCTAAGTATAGGTTTTGCATGAGCACCATTAAGCATTCTGGGATCCTCATTCTTCTCAATGTTGGCCATAATTTGTTATGATCCACATAGTCAAATGTCTTTACACAGTCAATAAAACACAAATAGACATTCTTCTGGTAGTCTCTGCTTTCAGCCAGGATCCATGTGACATCTGCAATGATATTCTTAGTGTCATAGCCTCTTCTAAACCCAGCCTGTGACTCATAGCAACCCTATGTACAACAGCCTTAAGCTTTGCTCTATCCTGTGCCAATCTCATTGTCTCTAACACATCTATCCCCATTACTCTAGTCACTGAGTCAATCCATCTCATCGAGGGTCTCCCTCGCTTGTGCTGTCCCTCTACCCTCCCAAGCATGACATCCCTCTCCACGGACTGGTCTCTCCTTGCAACATGCCCAAAGTATGTCAGATGAATCTTCAAAATCCTTGCCTCCAAGGAGCAGCCTGGACTAGCCAACAAAATACTGAAATAAATAATCAAAACTTGAACTCATTGCTGTTGAGTTAGAACCAACTCATAGCTGACTTGCCAGGAGGTTTTTTATGTTGCTGTTAGGTGCCATAGAAAAGTACAACTCATAGCAACCCTATGGATAACAGATCTGAACCTGTCCTATGCTATGTCATTCTCATTTTCATCATCTCTGATACATTTGTGCCCATTTGTTGTTGAATACTGTCGAGTTGGAACCAACCCATAGCTGATCCTCTAGCAAGTACTGAGAGGGTCAGCATCCTTCTCCTACAGAGCAACTAGTGGATTCGAACTGCATGCCTTCAGGATTACAATGCAGCTTCTTACCACTAGGCCATCAGAGTTCTTTTCCCTTGGAGCTGCTGGTGGATTGGAATATACAGAGAGGTGCCACCTATTGCACTAACCAAAAAAAATTCATTTCCACTTAGCCAGTTCTGACTCATGGCAACTCTCCACTCATGGCTATAAATCTTAATGAGAAGAAACTGTCTCTGTTCTTGCACAGAGTAGCTGGTAGAATCCAACTGCCAACCTTCAAGATAGCAGCTCACAGATTGAATCACAGAGTAGATTCAATAGAGGTTATTTCCCCCAGTGCAATGAAATTACTAACATATTTTTTCTGCAGTAGTTGTGAAGCTAATTCTAAACCTAAAGTTAAATAGAAGAGACTGAACAGTCAATACAATTTTAAAAAAAAAAATCAAAGTTAAAGAACTATTACTATCTGATTTAAAGATTTAGAATTATACATTTAAGATTGCTATAATGACATCAAGTTGATGCTGTTTATTATTTGTAAAAAGATACATACTAATAAGATAAAAATACCAGGAAAAATAGAAATTACAGAGACATGAGATTCTTGTGAGTTGGAGAGATGGCCACTATCTTAACAATGGTGATAACAGGTAAAATGTCAAAACTAATCACTTTTAATAGACACAGCTTAATATATATATAT